GTTTTTTATGCGGTGAAAAATGAAGGGACAATTGACTATCTAAATGGTGATCTATAAGACATTCTTCTGAAATAGTAAGCTTGACGCTCTGAATGATAAACTTCACTCACAAATATAGTAAAGTTTCAGCTGAAAAATGTCAAGCTGACTATCAGAGTTATGTCGTATAGATTATCCTTTATTTTTCTCTGTATAGGTTGCTCATTTCGTATAAACTTTTAGTATCCAAGTCATATTTATCAATAAATAAAAAACGGACGATAAAAAAGACGAAACTAACGAAACGAACAAACGAAAAGCGGAAACTTCATATACTCATTTATTCAGAAGGTAGTTTTTCGTAGATATAAAATTCTGATATTTTTTTGGCTATCACTACTTATAGTCTCAGTTCAAAAAAATTCAAATTTTATCCTTAAAACACTGATAAAAAAGTCGGGCGTTAAAGGGTTAACTGATAGTCATAGGAGGCGCCAGAACTATTCATGCAGGTGAGCCATATTTATTATATATTACATATTATTTTATTATTCATTTTAATGTTTCGTTGCGCTTTGTCTCTGGGAGAAATTAACTATGAAGATAGAATTTAAAATTAATTATAGAATTTTAATTATAAAAATAACTTCATATAAAAAAGCTGAAAACGTGGACAGAATAGGACAGCATAATTATGCTAAAATTTTCTAAAATTTTAGGCTGGGCCAAAAGGTGGGCCAGGATCCTTGGCGCCGCCTATGCTGATAGTTAAATCATATGTTTGTCTTCGTTTTTCTTTCAACTTACACTGAGAAAAGATAGTATTAAAATTAAACAAATCTTTGTTCGATTACGACTGTGAATAAATTTATTCAAATTAAGCGACTAATTTCTAAAATGAAATACAGAGGTTCTCTCTGAATGTAAATTTTTTTCTTGAATTTTAAAAAATAATTGCTTAATTTAAATAAATGTATTCACAGTCGCATTCGAACAAATATCTGTTCAATTTTAATGCAATTTTTTCTCAGTGTAGACAAAGACAGACATACATAGTCTGTTCAACAAGAAAGTATTGGTGATAATCTGAAAATCATAAAAGATAAAGTCAAGTTGTTATTTTAAACGAGAATAGAAGATTTTTCGTAATGCGCAATTACCTAATATTTGATCCAGTCGCTTCCATTATCAATTATTGCTTGTCACCATTTTTGTATATTTTCGACCAGATTTTCGACGTATTCTGGTAAAGAACGCCATATTGTTTTCATTTTTATGCGCAGCTGCTTAAAAGTGAAGACACGCTTTCCTTTAAATTTCATCTTAAGATATGACCACACATTTTCGATGGGATTTGCATTTGGAGAGAATGCCGGCCAATCCATCATAGTTATGCCATTTTCGAGCTGTTCTGACAGCAGCGGTTTTTCATGGTGGACCGAAATATGGTGATGCCATATCATTTTCATGCAGGCAGGTTCTGATGGTATTAAGCGATAGATATGTTGACCTTTTCGGCGGAGTTTTATTTGGGCTTAACGCAGGGTATGACTGGGATTCGTCTGAAAGAGACAAAATCGCTTTGTCTTCCTTCGGAGTCGTTGCATGAGACAGCCCCTTTTCTTGCAGGTTGTCAACATTTCCAGCGGTTTTGAATCTATTTATTTACTTCCTTACGAAAGCCTCGGACTTTTTAATTGCTCTAGCAGTTGCCGCGATTGTTAATTTTGGTCTTTTAGAATGGTTAATAAGAAACACCTTAATAAGAAACGCCTCCTAACGCTTCAAATATTTTACACTCATATCATCAAAAATAATGTTTACTTTTAACGACTACTTAACGCAACTTTTTGATGTACACTGCGCAAAAGAAGTTAGTTTCAAGATTCAAACGGTATAAAGTAGATGGTGCTACTATGATTTTCTACAAAAATATCACCCACACTTTCTTGTTGAACAGACTATCGACTATCAACTATCGAAACTGAAACTTAGCAAGAAATTGAAACAACCTGCCCCTATTTTCGTCAATCGGGGCAAGCCGCGCGTATCATCGGACCATCAACGGACTGTGCCGACAAGATGACGGCGTGGAGTCGCGCTGGTTGTCGGAAGAGATGCGAAGTATGCATCGAGTTTGATGCAGGTGCTCTGTATTTTTCCGACGTCGCGGTATAAATAACATTCAACGTCACGGAAAGAAGCCAGCGTTCCCTCACGTTCCGCGTCGACGTAAGCCGACACTCTGATTAGCCACGCGCTTAAAGATCCATAACAATATTTCAACAAACATAGCCAGGCGCGTAGCTTCGAGCTGCGGGCGTGCGAGGGACGTCGCGTCGTGCAGCCGAGCCACTTTTTCCCGGGGCACTTTCTCGAAAATCGTTGCATCTGCACGCACGCGCGCTCTAATATGTGAAATTGGCACGCGTTCCGAGGAAGGTAGGCAAAGAGGGTGGTTGCATAAGGAAACGGTTAAGTCGTTTAGCTAAGCCGATCGGCCCACTCTCGCTAGCTCTGCACGGAGAAAAAAGATTTTCTTGGCGGTTAACGGAACCGCCAGTAACCGCAACAGTTTTTTATTAATGTGGGATAGCAAATGATTCCGTTGCTGTAACGAATGATTTGTTACTTGCGATTTGTTGCTCTAGCTAACAATTTTATAATGGGAACAAATGGTATTTTGTCATGTTAATCCAACAAATCATAAATTTTTGATTTCTTGGCGATACAGAATGTGAGCAAAGGTTAGAAATTATGTATGAGAAAATCAATCAGTTATATTAACTCTTCTTCATTAACGTATAATATGTGGCAAAATACGTAAAATACTTGACGAAACCACAACGCAATGTTATACTATGCTGCGTGTCATAATTACCAGATGATTCAAATATAGCTCCGTTACATCTAATCAAATATTGGTAGGAAAGGATTAGCAAAATAATAATTTTGTGTATGTGTGTTTTGCAGAAATTCGAGGAAAGAAATAGAGCAACACATTATTCTTTACTTTTAATACGACACATTATATAAAATTAATAAACTATTAGGTAAAGTTAAGTAAGATTAAGGGAGATATGCATACAAAAGTTCGTGTTGCAAACGTACTTTTATCAATAAAAAGATCTGTAAAATTCGCAGCTACTTAAAAAAGTTTATAAATCATTTTCAGAGATATTTTTATAGATATATGAGAGTTCAGAATATGGACCACAGAAAAGTCACGTACATGTATACTGGGTATCCAGGATCTTTTGGAAACGAACAATTATGAAGATTAATCATAAACGATAACAAGAAAAATTAGCTTGGGCTAATACTTGACGGTAGCTTTGAAGATTAATTTTGTCAAGGGTACAAGTTTCGTTTCTCACACAAGTAAACAGAGCGTCCCTGTGTGTCTAAATGGAAGGGGGGAAACTCGCGCGACCAAGTAGAAAATGGCATCATTGACAGCGTCATTCAACTTCTTCAAATCAATCTCTCCAGCCGCGGTAACTGAGACTTCATTTCTCTTCGCATATAAGATATGATAGTTTTACGCTTTCTGCGAAAGTAGCCGAATACTCTGCTGCAGCAACTACATTTTCGAGACGGAAGATTAATCCCTTGAACCGAACGCATCTGTTAATGCGGATGGTTCTTCGGTTTGCGAGAGAGAATCTTCTGTTACTGCAACCGGACCTCGTGTAACAGAAAATTTCTAGTTGTCACTAGGAAATATTTTTCTGCGTGTACACTGATGGGGCGATGGCGCAAGTTCGCGTTAGTGCTCGATAGACTTGGGCATCAGCAATGGCTGATACTTGCTTATATCTTATCAACAGCCAGTTACCGGTGAAGTAACACGATACGGTGAGGAGGAGAGATGCGTCGCGCATCTCTGTGTGCGAAGTATGTGCATGACATGCGCGAGCGTAGGTTCGTTCTTCTTTCTCGCCGAGCGATACGTTGCACTTTCACTTGGACACGTCAAGTGTCAGTGACCAGAACTGAAAACTCGTCGTCCAAATTCGCGTTCTCTCGCACTCGGGGGCAGCGTGCCGCGTTATCATCGTTTCCGTTGGAGAATTATACGAGGAGGGTGGGCGGTCGAGAGAGATTCAGCGTTCGTATTTCAGTGACGTGTGATTGTTTGCAAATAATTAGCGAATAATTAAGAATGATAATAGAATTATAGAAATAATAGAAAAAATTAATAAATCAATGAATTAATAAATTATCTAAAATCAAATAAAACAAATAATAAATTATCTTCCATAATATAGAATTGTAGAAAAATGATAGAGTAATAGAATTAAGAATGATAATAATAATAATCGACTGCAACGAACTGCAACGTTCACCAGATGCGTCTTATTTAAATTGCATAGGCGCCTGTTACCCGCGCCTGTGCGTTTATCGCGGCCTTGGAGAGTTTTATCGCGCTAAATGTACCCTGTCGTCATAATTAGGCTGGTTACAAATACAAAGCGGACGAAATTTGTGCCAAGGTGCCAAGGCAAATAATACAACATGCTGGAAATTTCGTGGCGCGCGCGCGCCGTGTTTCCTCGAGGTTAATTTCACGAAGGAACAAAAGCGCGAGCTTGCCATCCACCGCCAATTATAAGGATGATCGTATCGCATTTTTTCGCTCCTGGGCGTGGCACGGCTGGGTTGGCACTTACTTAGGTTGACGACACCGAAACGTGTCACGGCAATTCATTAGCGTAATGAGACACGAGCGACATGACTACCCGGAGCAAGGCTGCATTTATTAAGGTATTTTCTTCGCGAAGAAGAAGATTCAGCCGGGGGTCTTTGTCCTCGAGCGAGGAGCAAGCAGAAACCGGCACTTCGTTAGAGGGACTGCTTAAACTTTCTTTCTTTGGATGTTTGATTAATGGTTTCATTTAGCCGCGACGTTATTTTTACGAGAGGCGTTTATCCTTCCGTCCCGTTGCCACTGTATTTTTAGTCACGGTAACAAACAACAAAAGAAACTCCGTCCGGTCCGATGGGCAGGTTTTACTTACGTTTCCAGGAATAGCGGCGCTGATGAAGAGGGCCAGATTGTCCGGCCAGGGCAAAAGCTTGTACTGCTCCCACCATCTCTTCACGACGAGGCTCACGTAGAAACCCAGGACGAAGGACATGGGTATAGATTCGCTGGAATTGCCGAAATAGTAGCGGATTTTTTCGAAGATCCTGCGGAAAAGCGGAGAGCACCTTTTAAGCACACAGTTGAAAGCACAGTTAAAATTGCGAGTACTTGCTTCGTTCAAATTGTTCAAACTGTTCAGGTCCGAATTGCCTCAACTGAATGCTCAAGACACCGGTTACCGTGCGTAATAATAATAATAATTAACGAACACGACAGATTATACACGATGGAAGTGTAATCCGACTTACGATATCATGATATGAAGCGATGTTCTGAAAAGGCTGCACCCAACAAAAATATTCTACTTGCAAAGTGATTTTTCCCATAGCCTCATATTCTAATAAAAGGCGAAGCCTTTTACAGAAAAAGGATTCCTCTTTCGATGAAGCGATTAAAGTGAAGCATTTGTCTAAAATTTATTAGATATTGTTCCAACTATTTTCCTCTTATTTCAAGAGGATTTCTTCTTATATCAATTAATTTTCCTCTCATATAAAGAGGAATATGTTGCTTTGAATGTCAGCTTCTTTTGTTCAGTCATGCTCAACTTCCAGACATGAACAAAAAGATATGCTCATGGGTCAAAATATTTGGAACGCTTTTTAAAAAAGGTATATGTGTGTTGCTGTAACATATAACGAATTTATCTATATTTGGTTAAATATAATTTATAATCTATCGCAAGAAGTTGAATAATATATTCTCCCTTTTAACTATGTTTCGTACAATTGGTTATGATAAACATTTTTGTAGTTATGAAGTTCATAACAAAACTGATTGCAAATTTATTTGTTATGATGATCTTGTTTCATTCGTGCCTACTTATAGAACTGGAGCCAGAAGTACATCTATATATATTAGAGATGTGCGAATCAAGAATTTTTATGTTGAATCGAATCCAATCGAATCTTATTTTTTAAATTCGAATTCGAATCGAATTGAGTCTATGAAATTTCACTGGAATTGGAATCGAATCGAATTGTTAAAAAATTTAACATGACTATTAAACAATGATGATGATGAGCAAATAATGATGGAAGATTTTAATATTGCATGGTTATGCAATTGGTTATGATGAACATTTCTGTAATTATGAAGTTCATAACAAAACTGACTGCAAATTTATTTGTTATGATGATCTTGTTTCATTCGTGCCTACTTATTATAGATCTGGAGCCAGAAGTAGATCTATATATATATATATTATTTTTCGCTGTACATTATAATAATTTTTTCGAATTAACTATAGTATAATCAGCGAGAATAAAGTATAATAAGAATAAATAATGATCCTCTTAGAAAAAGGTTAAATAATCTGTGCATAAGACGAAATTTATATTAAAATCAATAAGATTTGCATTATACATATAACATATAATCTCTCTAACTTTAAGAATAATGTGTTTATAATATTTTCCTCTTAATCTTAGAGGAATCCTCTTGAGACCATATACGAGTATAAGAATAAAATCCTCTACAATCTAGATGATTCTTTTAGTTCTGAAATTACTCCTTTTTTGGATGTGATTGGAAATTTATTTGTTATGATGATCTATATATATATATATATAACTTCTCGCTATACATTATAATAACCTTTTCAAATTGACTGATATAACCAGTAGGAATAAAGTACAGTGAGAACAAATAATAATCCTCTTGAAAAAAAATTAAATAATCTGTGTATAAGAGGAAATTTATATTAAAATCAATAAGATTTGCAACAATACATATAACATATAATCCCTCTAACTTTAAGAATGACGTGTTTATAATATTTTCCTCTTAATCTTAGAGAAATCCTCTTGCGGCCATATGTAAGAATAAGATCCTCTAAAATTCGGATGATTCCGCTTATCTCTGAAATTACTTCTTTCTGGGTGTGAGCTCTTCGACATATTGGAGCGTACATTCAAATATCGTTCTATAGTTTATTGTATGCGTGAGCTATTCATATTTTCTACATGAACCCGCCTATAAGTGGAGCAAGGTTGAGGTGATACTGTCACTCGTCGACAGCGCTACCGGCGCGGGCGCGACCGCTACATGTCGATCGCTCGGCGAAGCAAGCGGAAATTTTCACTCGCTTCGCTGTCGGGTCGCGGGCAAAGGCGCAAATCTGTCCGGTCGAAAGCGTATTTCACGACGAGTCTCTCCGCTTCTCTCGTCGTCGCCGACGTCGGTCATTGCCTCGCGCGATGCACACGCCGCTCCGAGGAGCGTGTAATCGCCACGTGTGAAGAGTGGCCGCGCTCATTTTTACGACTTTACACATCAACTCCGCGAACGATCGACTCCGCGAGATTCCGGGATCTTTCGGTAAGTAGGTTTACGTCGGAATTTCCGCGGCTAACTGGTACCGTATTCGCACTCTTGAGGTAATATTGACTTACCGTTACCTGAACATACACAATATCGCAGGCACGAGAAATTGATAATCGCTCTCCGTCGCGTTCGCGTTCCGCGAATAACGACGGCACGGTCCGCTGATACTTTCGACCGCTCTGTCGCGCGACTCCCACACGTACTCGTATATGTTATTAATACCGAATACTTTCCCCGCGACGCGCGCAGAAAAACACGTGCGTGCGAAACAGTGAAAGATTTTAAAAATAACGCAACGGTGTTCCCAGATACTTTTTACGATAATATATATCGAAACACGAGGCGCGCGTCCGTTCTCGAGAAAGAAGATAGCGACCGCTGATAAATCGGTGCGCGAAGAGGATCCTGGAATTTTAACGGGTAACGATTAATCTTGCGGATCTTCGTACGCGCGCGCGTCCTATCCTGCTGGATCATTCGCTTCGTCCTTTAGGCACACCGGACCCTAAACCCGCCTTAAGTCGTCCCTACAGGTCTAAATTTAGCACGGGCGAATCGAAGCGATTTAAAGGAGAAGTCTTTTTACATCCTTATGCGCTCTTTTCACGATCCTTTATCTTTCTTTTGCGGCCCCGCATAAATAACCGGCTACATTTTTATGCCTTTTTTCACGCTACGTCTACAGACGCATCTCCGACACCTCCTGTGATGTATCACGATGAGGCGAAGCCTCTTGTACAGGACGCGCCAAAAGAACCGTCTCGCGAAAGATCGCCGCGCGCGGAACTGTCGACGACGAATTCAATCGGCGCGGGATAATTGACGTAAACGTTTCATTGTCTCGTGCGTGAAAATTTTCGCGTTCGCGCTCGGATATGGACAGCTCTCTCTCTCTCTCTCTCTCTCTCTCTCTCTCTCTCTCTCTCTCTCTCTCTCTCTCTCTCTCTCTCTCTTGTGTTCATCGAGTGTCCATGTAATTTTTTTCAAATGTAAATTCGCCGCTTGCATACGCGGCGAGATAACGTCACGCTGCGGTACGTGCCTCGCGACACCGCGAGTGAGCTTATCGTGGTAAGTACACTTGAATATACGCTGCGGTTAAACTTGCAGTTAAACAGACGTCGTTGAAATTTGGAGCGTTCCTGGAGCGAAAATTGAAAATAGCCTTTATTTAAAAAAAAACCACTTAATATAAATGTAAATACATATAAAAGATAAATTTGTGTTAAATATGACATGACATTATAAGAAAATTGTTTTTCCCGAAAATTACGCACATATAATCATTCATATAGATTATAATTATTTCCGGCACTCACAGCGCTCTGTACCAAAAACTCACAATGCATTTTCACTCTCTGGCATGTAGGAAAATAGAAAAAAATTAATTTAACAGCAATATCGTCCCGGAATACTTTCGTTCTCCCCTAAAATGGTGTGCCACCACACTCAGACAGATTATAATTATTTCCGGCACTCACAGCGCTCTGTGCCAAAAACTGACAATGCATTTTCATTCTCTGGCATGTGGGAAAAGAAAACAAAAATTGTTTAATAGCAATCGCATCCCGGAACTCTTTCGTTCCGGGATACGACGAGAACGAAAGTGTTCCGGGACGAAATCTGTCTGAGTTTGGTGGTATGCATACCATTTTCGGGGAGAGCGAAAGTGTTCCGGGACGATATTGCTGTTAAACTAATTTTTTTCTATTTTCCTACATGCCAGAGAGTGAGAATGTATTGTCAGTTTTTGGCACAGAACGCTATGAATGCCGAAAGTAACTAAAATCTGTCTGTGTTTGGTGGTATGCACACCATTTTCAGGGAAAGCGAAAGTGTTCCAGGACGATATTGCTTTTAAACTAATTTTTTTCTATTTTCTCATATGCCAGAGAGTGAAAATGCGTTGTCAGTTTTTGGCACAGAGCGCTGTGAGTGCCGGAAATAATTATAATCTGTCTGGGTGTGGTGGTATGCACACAATTTTCGGGGAGAACGAAAGTGTTCCGGGACGATATTGCTGTTAAATTAATTTTTTTTTCTATTTTCCTACATGCCAGAGAATGAAAATGCATTGTCAGTTTTTGGCACAGAACGCTGTGAGTGCTGGAAATAATTACAATCTATCTGAGTGTGGTGGTATGCACACCATTTTGGGAGAGAACGAAAGTGTTCCGGAACGATATTGCTGTTAAACTAATTTTTTTCTATTTTCTCACATGCCAGAGAGTGAAAATGCATTGTAAGTTTTTGGCACAGGGCGTTATGAGTGCCGGAAATAATTATAATCTATATGAATGATTATATGATCGTAATTTTCGGGAAGGACAACTTTCTTATAATGTCATGTCATATTTAACACAAATTTATCTTTTATATGTATTTACATTTATATTAAGTGGTTTTTTTTTTAATAAAGGCTATTTTCAATTTTCGCTCCAAGAACGCTCCAATCTTCAACGACGTGTTAACCAGTCATTTGCATTCACCGCAGGGGTCGACTGATTGTCCTTCGGTTCAGTCACCCACGGCGATTGTTTAATGACTTGGTAACGAAAATCTACGAATGCATTTCACGTCGTTAAAGTCGGAACGCCTCGGGCGATTGTGTAAAAATAGGCGAAGCCTAGATATAAAAACACAAAATGAAACTCCGTCAGTAGAATTGATAAATTCTACAGTAACGTTGTTTTTCCGAGATTCGAAGTCACGCGGTCTTACCGCATGTTATTGCCAGATGACATCAGTGTTTTTTTTTAATTACGCGGATTATATTATTTATTCGAGTGTACGACCTTCACGTCCGCGATTCTACAATCGAAGGCGGATCGACGCGAGCGTCACGAGGGCAAACGAAAGAAAGGTTACCGAGCGTCCTGCACGGTAAAAATGCAGCGATGAATACTAATAAAAGGAAGATACGAGTATCGTAAATCTCCCGACGCCAGCCGTGATAAAACGCGACCATGATCGCGAGGTGCCGGAACCTTCGGATTTGTCAGCGGGCCAAGGTCGATATCGCGTGGGTTTATCTACACCCATAAAATACGTTTATGGCAGATATGCTCATGCGCGACCCAGCCGATCGTTCAATTCGGCGTGATTCGCGATAAGAGAACGCCGAGGAAATTGTCGATGACTGACGGAAAACGCGGGGCGTCATGCGGTTCTTCCCCCGCGCGATTGGAAGGTAAACTTTGTCCGAGTCCCTCGTATTATGCTCACTGCGTCTCCACCGCGAGACGATTGTACGGAATTAAAATTCCGGACGGGAACGATCCGGCACACCTGAGGCGCGAGAAAATCGATTTCAACGATGCCTGCCGCGGCGGGGCTGCGCTTCTTATCGCGGCGCGTAGATCCTTCCGCTCCTCGCGGCTCGAACCTTCCGCTGACTCGTAAAGAACGACATTTACGGGGAATAGTTACTGCTTGAATTCCAGGTATATTCATGTACTCACATCCGCTGTTGGTCATTGAGCAGGTATCGATATGTGAAATTGATGAGGTAGTAGACGAACAGGTACGCCAGTAGTTCCCGCCAGATCAGCTTGTAAACAGAGCCGCGCCATCTGCAATGAGAGCCGAAGACGGTTAAAATTGACATTAATTGCACGTACAAGCGCGACATTGTATGTCGCCCGTCTCGTTCCGCGGATAATCATTTCCTCTCTTTCTCTCTTAAATTCGACACACATATCCCTAGTAGCATATATTGTTGGACCAATATTGGCTACAAATTGGGACCCAATGTAAGTCAATATTGATATAACAATGCTATGCAATATTGGCGATATCTTGTAATTTGATGTCTAACCAATATTGGCTGCATATTGGGATGCACTGGGCAAATGTAACCTCAATGTAAGTCAATATTGGTATAACAATGCTATGCAATATTGGTGATATCTTGTAATTTGATGTCTAACCAATATTGCCTGTATATTGGGATACATTGGGCCAATGTAATCCCAATTTATGTCACCGTAGCCAATGTAACGCCAATGTAACGTCAATGAAGTGTGCTACTAGGGATAGAGGTCTATAGAGGCCAATTCTTTCCGATAAAGTCGCACGTGAGGTGCAATATGACGTTACGCCTTGCGGGGAAGAAACTCGCGCATTGGGTGTACAAATGAATAATTCAAACCTTTTTAAGCGGCTAAGAAATCAAGTCAATTCAAATAATCAAATTTTCCCGCTTTTTTACGGTTACGTAAAAATATTGACTTATAGCTATTAAAAATTACACTTGGTATGGCGGAAGGCTCAACATAATCAACATAAAAATTATTCAGTTCAGTATAGTCAAAAATGGCAACGGATAAGTGCGTATCCGATACTGCATTCTTTATGAATTCCAACAAGGAATTCCAAAAATGCTGCAAGAGCATACGAATCGATTTGTTCGTTTCTCGGTGAAGGTGTTGTATCGTACGATGTGTGTGCATTTTACTTCAAACAATTTAAAAGTGGCAATTTCAGTCTGACAAGGGGAGGACGCATCGACCGGGAAACGGTTTGGAACGAAACTTGCGGAGTTAATAGTACTTAACTACTAATAACTCATGGTAATAGCATACGACGCAATACCTCTTCGTTTTCGAGAAAAACGGTCTTAAGAAAAGAGTCAACAAAGTGTACGAGTTAGTAAGAAGGGTATTGAACGAAGCGGCGTAGCGCAACTGCGAAGGTAACGGACTATCAAGGTGACGGCTGAGGTTCGATCCCTGCCGTATAGTTTTTTTTATTCTGTAAGCATAAAAATGAAACAGAAAACATTAATAAATAATAAAACTGCGTTTCTTAAATATATTAGTGTTTGTTAAATATATTATTAATGATTTAAATTGCAAAAAAACCCTAAATCTTATCTATAAAATATATAGTGTATGAGAAAATTTTTATATAATAATTGCAATGGAAATAGAAGTAAAAATATATATTTTCGCTGAGGATTTTTCAATAATAATTCATTATTCTCGTAAATAGAATTCGCATATACGAGAGCATTAGTGAATTCACCTTTAAAATCTTCATTTTCAAAAGAAATTTAAATCATTAATAGTATATTTAACAAACACTAATATATTTAAGAAACGCAATTTTATTACTTTAATTAATGTTTTCTGTTTCATTTTTATGCTTACAGAATAGAAAAAAAACCATACAGCAGGGATCGAACCTCAGCGCCATCACCTCGGTAGTCCGTTACCTTCGCTGCTGCGCGACGCCGCTTGGTTGAATATCCTTCTTACTAACTCGTACACTTTGTTGACTCTTTTCTTTAGACCGTTTTTTCTCGAAAACGAAGAGGTATTGCGTCGTATATGCTATTACCATGAGTTATTAGTAGTCAAGTACTATTAACTCCGTAAGTTTCGTTCCAAACCGTTTCCCGGTCGATGCGTCCTCCCCTTGTGAGTGACAAAGAACGTCCTGAAGGCCCTTGGATGTACAACAACAATGATTTTAAGCAACTGCTCGCTGAGAATTTAGCATAAACGCAAAAAAAGCTTACAGAGCAGTTAGAAGTAATGTACCAAACCATTTCCAAACGCCTACACGAGATGGGGAAGATTCAGGAAGAAGGAAAATGATTTACGCATAAATTCATTGAAGCCAACAAAAATCAATGAGTTGCAGTGTGTCTTTCTCTTCTCAATAAGCGGCGTAGAAAGCCTTTCTTGTCAAAAATTGTTACGGGCGATGAAAAGTGGATACTCTATGACAATCCGAAACGCAGAAAGGGTAAATCCCGGCGAGCCATCAACATCAACGTCGCCAAAACGTTTCGGAATGAAGATTCTGCTCTGCATTTGGTGGGATATGAAGGGCGTGATTTATTATGAGCTGTTAAAACCGAATGAAACACTTACTGCGGACCGCTACCAACCCCAATTAATCCGTTTGAGTCAAGAATTAAAACGAAAACGCCCGTAGAGTGGCAAAGGAGAACGTTTTGTGAAATTGTTGCATGATGACGCTAGGCCACACATATTGTTTCTACGGCAAAAGACATCATAATGAGTCTTATAGCACGGCCGACGTATTCACCAGACATCGCTCCTACCGATTACCACTTGTTCCGGTAGATGCAACACATACCTTGTCCGAAACGCAGTCTTGAAATCAGTGGATGAGATCTGAAAATGGCTTGACGACTTTATCGTGTCCAAAGACACAACATTTTCCCGAGATGAAAATGGGCTCATCAGTTGCCTGAAAGATGGCTTAAAGTTATAGAAAACAACGGCGAATACTTTGATTGACAAATTTGTTTTACTTTCTTTTAAAATAAACCTTGAATTTAGCTGAATAATCTGGATTATATTCATTTGTACACCTAATATTTCGACATCTCTCGCGTTAGAATGAGCTATCCCGCATAAAGAGACACAAATCTCAGCCGTTGCCCCGACTAAGAAAATTACGCGTTCGCGCAGCTGGGCGCGCACATAGTCTCTAAACCGGGAATAAGTTATTAGCAGTAAATCCGCGATACGGCTCGTCTATAAATCAGCGCTAGCGGAGGCGACGCGCCGCGGAATCGCCGCTCTCGAGCTGTAAAAACGGACGGAATCCGTCGTTCATTCCCGACAGGTTCATTCCCGTCCTCCCCGGACTTCATCCTCGTGTGAATGAACTTCGGAGGCATCGACCACCTGGTGCGCTCTTTTCTCTTTTCGAGCGTCTTCACTTTTACTCGTTCGCGCGTTTGGGAAGCGTCGCCCGCCGATAGACACTTCCTCGATTCTACGACGCGACAAGCGACGCTTCGAACAACTCCGCGCACCCCGCACGTTCTCCCTGGCTCGTTCCGTTCGTCACGCTTGAGAGATTTACTCTTTAGATTTACGGGCTAATTTCGAACGGAACACGGATATTAATAAACCGATGATGCGCGGGCCCGCGCACAGACGCGAAACAGGTTTTGTCCGGAACGGGGAAAAGAGAGAAGCGCACGGGAGACGCGACGAATTATCGCGCAATTTCGCTTTCAACGGGCTGCTATTTCACCGCGGCGACGCGACCGAGTAACCGAGAGCGACGAACGGTATGAGCGAACAATCGGTAACAGCTGGATCATCCTGCAGTGTACGCTTCGGAACCGAGCGGAGAAGCAGCGAGAAGCGTGTCACGGCTAAATCGATTTCATGAGCTTCGTAGGTACGCGTCGTTCGCGATACTTTTTCGCGAAATGTTTCGCAAAAATCCGCGCAACGTAAATATTCGCGCGTGGAAAAATCGCACGTTGCTCGCGTTGCTCGCGGATCGATAGCGACGAGTCGGAAAAATCGCTAGCGCGATGGAACGGCTCAATATTCATGGCTTCTCGAAGCTAAGCGTTCGTCAAGGTAGCATAGTCGTAACTGCAAGCCAGTGATAGCTCAATTTGCAGTCCGAAAGAAAGACATTAGACTGGAAATAAGACATCTGCGTGCTAATGGCTGGGTGCTCATTGCAAACGAGGCCAGAGAGAAAAGCAACGTTATCGATGCTGCAAAGCTTGATGTGTCAAGCATTGTTTGGAAATGGTGCTACGCGTGGCTGTGCCATCGGTGTTTGAGTAAAAATGACTGCCGCATTCATACGTTGGAATTTATTGACGTTCCTATTCGCGATTTTGTGTCACGAACTCTGTGCAACATCATACAGCGCGTATCGAGGTAATGAGTATCCGTTTCGTTTAATTATACGTCATATTTCTAATTCTACTAGATATTCTAACATATGTATATTACGAGTGTGCTTTCGTCTTGAGGGTTTCTTCTTCAAAACTTGATTTACTTAAAACTTGAGATACTTAAAGAAGAATGAACGAATATTTTAATCAAAATATTTTCCTTCATTTTCTCCAACTTAACTTTAACTTAACGTTAACTTTTTTCCATTTTTCTGGCAGGGGGTCGATTCCACGACGATAAAAAGATTCTTCTTTGGAGTTGGAAATGCAATTTTCAACAAATTTCCGCACTTTTTCGAAGTTGAATGAAAATGTGTATCCTCTAAAGCAGGGTTTCCCGACCTTTTTTATATTTCGAACCCCCAAAAATTTATTAATGAACCTTCGCACCCCCTACAAAAAAAAATTATTCGTATGTTTTATGGTAAAAATTAGTTGTTAGGGTTTTAAGGTAAGAAGTTAATTTATAATAATTTATGTATATAGTATTGTTTTATAGAATTAACTATCATTTTGATATTATAAAATTATTATCCATGGTATCAAGCTTCGCATAGTAATACGCAATGAATACATACGTACAGATACGTAAAAAATATATAATTTTAATATTTTTTTTAATTTAACGGTAAAAATGCCGGATTATTTCAGAATTCATCTTAATCATTAATTACAAGCACTTTTCTTCGTACCCCCAAGAATGTCTTTTCGCGCCCCCAGGTGGTGCGAGCATCCTCGGTTGGGAACCTCTGCTCTAGAGCATGTTGCATCGACTGGAACAAGTGATAATCGGATGGGACAATGTCTGGAGAATATGCGGGGTGCGGCAAGACTTGCCATTCCAGCTCTAATAGCGTTTGCTTCTCTGATAATGCAACATGAGGTTGAGCATTATCGTGAAGAAGGATCACTCTGCGTCGTTGACTCGCAATTGGTGATCGTTT